CTCTCTCTCTCTCTCTCTCTCTCTCTCTCTCTCTCTTTCGTAGTCTGCTGATGCAGTGAAGTCAGATAGCGAGAGGGTGAGAAGGAGATGGTGGACTGAGAAGAGGAAGAAGAACTCTCTCTCTCTCATATGCCAGGTACTGACCTGTGAAGATGGCGCTGTGCTGCAGGTACCTCGAAGACGAAGCTGGAGCAACGGCACTGCAGGTAAGTGACCGTAAGTCCCTCTGGCCTCCGCCCAATCTCTCTCTCTCTAGTACTACTCTAGCTGCTATGGCGCCCAGCGCTGAAGACTACAGCTAACGCTACTACTACCACTGCTGTGCTCCTCCAGAGTGCTGCTGCCGAATCCTGAAGATTACCTCCTGCCTCCTGAACTGCACGTGAAGTGCCTGGGAAGTACCTAGGAACTACCTGCCGGCCTGCAGGGCGGGCCAGTCCTATATAGTGCTGGCCCGTCCAGGAGGCTGCTCTTGCCAATGCCTCAACGTGCCAGACCCTGGGGTTGAAGCTCAAACAAAGGTTGTCTTGAAAATACGCCAGAAATGGCCTGAGCTAAAACCCTGGTCTGGTGCCTGAGTTTCAGGGCAGGTCGGTCTTATGAGGGCCCGGAAATGGCCCTCAGTTTCAGGCTGAAAACACTCAGGGCCGGAAAGGCCCTGATTTAGCCTGAAACGACACAGGGCCTGTAGGCCCTTGTTTTCAGGCTTTTGGCCTGAAAACGTCATGGGCCTGGAAATGGCCTGTGCAGCCTGTTGCAGGCGCAGCATGTAACAGTCAAGGAGCGGGAGGAAGGAGAAAGAATGACTAAATATTTCTTTCAGAAAATTCGGTATGAAGGAAGGAGCTCAGCAATAGAAAGACTTCAAACAACGGAAGGCCAGGTATCAAAGCCGGAGGAGATGGTTGCAGTGGCTCAACAATTCTATAGCACTTTATATACTTCTAGGGAGTCGGACCATTCGCAATAGCAGGTGCAAGAAGCCAGATCAAAGTTCTTAGCCCACCTAGATAGGTCAGTACCTAGTGCACAGGCAATGTTGGTAGAAGCCCCAGTCACGCAGGAAGAGTTGTGGGAAGCACTAAAATCAATGTCACCCAACAAGACTCCAAGAAAAGATGGGTTGACCAGGGAATTCTGGCTGGAATATTGGCCAATCCTAGGGAGCGAATATATGGCATACCTGGAAAAGGCCTGGCAGGTAGAGGGGCCAGGCCGGGATCCGGCCACAGGGATTGTCACGTTGATGTACAAAAAAGGGGATCCTGAAGATATAAAGAACTACAGGCCCATTACCTTGCTGACACTCACGCACAAGATAGTAGCAAAGGCCTTGGCTAAAAGGCTCAGTAAGGTAACTAGGGGTTGTTTTTCATTGGATCGGTCTGGTTTTATCCCAGGCCGGTTTATTCTGGACAACGCTCAGTTCGCTACATTAAAGATAAGAGAATCAATGCGGCAATACTGTTCTTCGACTTTGAGAAGGCATATGACCAAGTGAATTGGTGTTTCCTCCAGCAGTGCATGGAAAGGATGCGGGTCGGACCTAATTTCAGAAAATGGATACGGGTCTTATACAATGATGCACACAGGCAGGTCCAGGTGAATGGTCACCTATCGCAGAGTTATAGGATGTCGAGATCGATCAGACAGGGGGACCCCTTAGCAGCCCCCATCTTTTTGTTCATAATGGAAGAAGTGGCATCATTTCTCAGAAAGGATCCCTCCATCCAACGGTTGATAGCTGAACAGGACCAGCAGGGTAGACTGATCCACTTGCCGACGACTCTCCTTTTTGCTGACGATCTGACAGTACTCATTCGTGCCTCGAGCTCATCCTTCGACGCTCTCACTAGAGCAATGCTCGCTTTCCAGCTGGCATCCGAAATGAGAATAAATTGGCCCAAGACTATAGGATGGTGGCTGCTTTATGGAGAAGGAGAAGAGTAGAGACCGGTTAATACCCCGGAGGGAATGCAGTAGTCAATAGTAGAGGAACCGCTATGTTATTTGGGAATTAGGTTAGCGGAAGCAGGGCCTCACCAATCAATGGCTCTAGAGATTTTAGCAAAAATTCTGACGAAGCTAAGTGCTTGGGCAGCAATTTATACTTCCTTGTTTGGGCGAGCCTTAATCCTAAACGCCTCCATTTTTTCGATGTTGTGGTATGTAGGCTCGATTTGGACACCACCGGATCAGTCTATTAGCGAGTTAAGAAGAAGATCAGCAGCTTTCTTATGGACAGCAAACCCTAGTAAGGAGAATGCCATATCTAAGGTAGCCTGGAAGCATGTCATCAAGCCAAAAGAGCAAGGGGGATTGGGCATATTAGACCCGGGACAGCAGATGAAGGCGTTGCAAACGAAGTGGGTTTCGAAGCTTATCACTCATCCACAGCTACCATGGACTTCCCTCGCATTAGAACACATTAGAAGACTGGCTAAATACAAAACACCGGCCAACATGTCAGGGCTGTTTTGGGTGATGAGCAAAGGCTGGGCAAGGAAAAGTACGAGCGAAGGTGAACGGACACCTGGGGCAACTGAGAAGAGGGATGGCTCTTATTGGGCACAACTCCTCAAGCTTTGGGGGGATATTTTTCCAGCAAGAGTAAGAGAACCTAGGAACAGAGAGGAGGTACTCCATCAACCACTTTTCCGCAATCCCTGGATTAAGGATCATCAAGGGAAGCCGCGTACCCTGACAGCAAGAGATTCGAAATGGGGAACATGAGTGGAACATGGAGTCTGGCAGGCTAGACATTTATGGTCAGACGACAAACAGCGATGGAAGACGGCAAGAGAGCTTTTGAACGAGATGAAGGGTACCCACAAATTGCTAGAGAATCTGAATGATGTTCTTATCTCCATCCCACCAGTATGGGAATTGGGAAAAGGGTGACTGGGCCACGTGGTTGTACGAGTATAAACCGGAAGTTGCTTTCAGGATAAGGGGTAAGACGGGCCCGGGGGATGCATGGCTATTGGCTGATATGTTATCAATAGAAGAAGTAGGGACCACTACCAGTCAATTAGATAAGACATCTATCTCACCGATTACAATTTTAAAAAAGCAGTGCATAAGGTCAGAGTGGTGGAGATGGACAATTATATGATTTACGCTCCAACTACGTCTCTAGAGGATTTAGAAGTAGACCCGGCAGAATGGGCATGGAATCTCAAGGGAGGTTTTCCGAGTGTTGCCAGAAGAATAAACATACTTCACTATACAACCAAATTGGGGTACAGGCTCAGAAGGAGGTCTCACCCACTGGCAGAATCACTGGCTAATCGATGGGAACGGAGGTTGGAAGTACCCAAGGCGCAAGTCTCTAGTCTACCGTGGTCAGTATTGAATACTATACGGTTAGGCAGGGTCAAAAGTTTACAATGGCTGATTTTCCACGTGGCGCTTCCGGTCAACGTTTGCTGTATGAGAGCCGCAGCCACAATCGAAGGGATCGCATCAACCAGAAGTGCAAACTGTGTACGGATGAGGAGACGGAAACCTTGCTTCACTGTCTGCTACAATGCCCAGAGGCGGTATACGTGTGGGAGGTAGCCAGGGAACTGTGCCGAAAGATGTCACATGAGGTCTTTCCGGAAGACAGGAGGATCCTCCTCACCGGTATGGAACTTTGAAAAAAATGGCAATCGGGACAAAAAAGAGGATTCCAACTATTGAGACGATGCACATTATGGATCATATGGAAAAGAAGATGTCAAATGACGATAGGAAGGGGGCAAATGCACAGACTGGAGGCCAAGAAAGTTCTACACAACCTGCTGGAGACGGATATCACGGCCCAATGGCGAAGAACAAGAAGGCAAGCCCAACAAAACCCGGAGAAAGCCCGGGAGACATTTAAAACGTATCGACGGGTTATTTTGGCAACAATTGAAGGATCAAGATTAGTCTTTCACTGGTTTGAGAATACAGAGCAACGTGAGCAAGAATAGGACGTCAGATTCGTTAAGGTAGTACTTAAGAATCAAGACAGCATTACAACTGAGGGTTTAGGGTTTAAGGTTTAGGCAGAAACAAGGCAAATAGGGCTTAGGGTGTCAGAGATTTCAGGAGATTTGTAGGCATTTTCAATCTAGACTTCGCATAACACGTAGGAAACGGTAGGAGGAGTACAACTGGGAGTACAGGGATGGTGAAAGGAGTAAAAACTCAGGCTAACTTAGGCAGGGGTGAGGGATGGTACATCCTTCCTTATGGAAGTAATCAATGCCGTCTACTCGGGCCTCCCAGCCATGATGGGGAGGAGCGTGTGTGAGTTTCATATGTATCTATTTTTGACTTGCCGGGGGAAAGGAACTGGACTGCCGCTCCCCAGAATGGTAGGAGCCAGAACCAGAAAAGGAGGTGGTTTTCCTGTAGGGTTCTCCCTCTGGAAGTAAGCATTAGTGGGGTAGGAGGTCCCGACGGGGCAGGGCAACCTGGCTGTCCCTGGTTTTGGGGATTGTTGTTGATATAACTTGCCTCGAGCACTGGGCCCTGTTAATAAAAGTGCAATTTCAGGGGGGGAGGGCGTAGGTTGCTTGCTTGCAGGTTTTTCAGCTCAGTTAGGACTAACAGGCCATATTAGGCCGGGTAGATTTTGCATTTTTGATAGGTTTTGTTGAGGTCTGATTAAAGCAGGCTGTACGACTGTCTCTTATACACATCTAGATGTGTATAAGAGACAGGCGTGCGTGAGTCTTGTATGTATTCCATATTGACTT